CACCACCAGCTACGAATGTCGAAACCTCGCCACTCGTATCGAATGAAAGTGTCCAGTTGCTAGACAAGATAAGGAATATTCTTGCCAACAAGGCTCCCGAGCCATACCTCTCTCGAATCAATCTTCAAGTAAATTACCGAGCTTTTCTAAGGAATCTGCAGAGGCAGAAAAGCTCCAGCAGGTCAGTAATTCTGTTCGGTGTTCCTGAACCAGATAAGCATTTACCGGCTTCTTCGCGTCAGGCATACACTGAATCAGTCGTTACTGGCCTGCTGGACGCTCTCGACATCGAAACGCGTCCTGTGGAGATACATAGGATCGGCAACGCTGTTGAGGGAAAACCCAGACTTGTAAAGTGCCTACCTCCGTCTCGTCGACACTACCTTGAAATATATCGAATACTATCGAGAGCACAATCATTGCGCACGATTCCAATGTATAAGGATATCTTTGTGAGGAAATCGATGACCAGAGAAGAGCGCGAGAAAGACAAGGAGTTACGCAGGCGAGCACGTGAACTCAATCAAAAGAAGCACAACGGTGAGCGTATTTACGTCGTTTATAAAGGAGAGCTTACCAAAGTAACGGACCCACAACCGAGGTAAATAGTTCTCACTCAAATGACCGGGGTTTTCCCATACGCCCTGGGCCAAGCACAAGCCATTGACCCCCACGTGTACATTACTAAATGCTAGAAGCTTGGTGAACAAAATTTTCCATTTTCATTACTTTCTAAGCAGCGTTAAACCTTGTATTGCTTTTGTGACTGAATTGTGGTGAAGCAGTTCAATTTCTGATTCTGAACCGTGCTCGAGCCTCCCATATATGTAGTGTCATCCGAAAGGACAGGATAGCGCGAAAAAGAAGAGGTGTTTGTGATGTGATAAGCTTTGATATCGTTCTGCCTTCTAGTCGTAAACATCGTTTCTTACTTATTTACCGCCCACCCAATTCAAATAGCGTCCAAGATGACCTTTTGTTATCAGTCATTTATGACTTGACTTCTGCAGCACCTATATTCACAACTGTATTGGGAGACCTGAACCTAAATTGGTCAGTGGAAAGATTGTCCTCACCAAACAAGTTCCTAACTCTATTTGACTCATTATCCTTGGTGCAATTTGTTGACTTCCCAACTCGTGAGGGCAAAATCCTTGACCTAGTCTTTTCCATACAGGACACCATCTCCCACATTTATGCCGCTGTCTACATCTGATCATGCCACTGTCGCCTTTACCATGCCTACAATCATCAGGGATGAACGCTCATTCGTGACTTTAAATTTGCAAACAAAGATGTAATCGCTTACCATCTATCTCGTATGAACTGGTATGAAATCTTTGATAACTATCGAAGCATCGATGAATTATATGGACGTTTTTGCGATATCATCACTACCTTATCGATTCATTCGTTCCCCTGAAAGAAATCATTGGTCGTACGTGTAGTTACCCGATCCACATAAGAAAGCTACTCCAACTGCGAGAAAGGCTGTTCTTTCAGATAAATCATCGTGTGAAATCCACTATCTACAGCGGAGCGCTCACCGGACGGTGGGGCTTTCCCTACGACCACGCCGGCG